GGGGGGGGGGGGCGTCAGTCAGCTGGAGGGAACTAGATCTGAGGCCACACTGTATACAAACAGGCATGCTACACTGAAAAAACTGAAACGTTTACTTTAATTAAATGTATTATGTCAACAGATGTCATATAACTGGGTTAGTTGAAAGCAATAATATTAAGTTTAAATAAAACATATATGCTTCAACTTAATAGTATTGCTTTCCACTGACCTAATACAGTTATATGAAATCTGTTGACGAAATACATTTAAATAAAGTTGATACAAATACAATTGATATTGTATGTTAACATATATTAAGATATAAAAAAATTTAAAAAAGGGAGAAGGGGTCAGATTAAATAAGTGTAAACTTCTTCCGAGCGTCTTTTCGGACGTGTAATTAGCTAAAGCTTTGTTGTTTATTGATATCAGACAATGATACAACAGATTATTCAATTATGAATTAAATATTTCGTTTTGTTATTGCATTCATTTGTATAGTACTGTATCATGTCTGTATCATCTTTTGTTTCATTTGTATTTTCTTTGGTTTTACAAGCTCGAAAAAAAAAAAAAAACTAAACTAAAGTCAACATTTCAGTTTTTTCAGTGTATGGACAGGAGAATGAGAAGTCCTAACTCCCTGGTGATAATATTCTAAATAACCCGAAACCTTTTCACATTTATTCATCCTTTAAACCTCAGTGTGATGCTCTGTCAATGCCTCACTTCCGTACATTTTGCAGTGATTGACATGTACAGACCATAGTCAAACATCACAAACCCACTCTGACTTAACCAGCACCGGCCAGAGCAACATGCAAGCAAGAGACACATTTATATTTGGACTACAGAGGGTTTGAAGTGTATTTTGGATCCTGTTTCATCATCACAGGCCATCTTCAGTAGAGTGCCAAGACTTATTGTCATCCCTATAAATAACAATGCCTCTAGTTTCTTAAATCACAGCATACTTTCCAAATACACTTCCCTTGGAGGTTCCTCCTATCTCAACTGTCATCCAGGACCTGGTGCAGATGAACCGTACACATGTACATTATCATGTCAACATGCCTTCCATCTTCCTCTCAGCATCTACACTCAGCATCTCCACAGCTCCTTGTCCTCTCTGACGTCGCCCCTCCTCCAACACTAGAGAGCTCCTTTTCTCTATCTGCCTTTGCCTGAGTAAAGACTCTAGACTGGTAAAGCCTGTTCCCTCTCCTCGTCCACTCTCAGGCATGGATGCTGCACTGCAGGCAGCCCCTGCTCAGCATCCTCCCTCTTCTGTTTACCTGTCTGCGTGAGATTCCAATGCAGCTCCCCATCTTGTATTCCATGTCCTCCTCTGGTGAAGTGACTCTGGCACTACACGGCTTGCAGAGCACCTTTCTGCAGAACTGCATCGTTATTTCAGCCTGAGCATCGCCAGGGCTGGCAGGTCTCTGCTGGAGCAGTGGAGTGAGCGTGTGCACGCCTCTGTGGCTGTACGAGTGTGTGCCTCAGTGACTAATACGCGCTCTGCACTGCATTGCCCCTGTTGAGCCTGTGACATATCTTTTCAAGTCATTGTTATATATAAAAAAAAAGCAACAAAAAAAACGTCATTACATAAGGAGCCTAATTAGAGGAGTGTGAGGAAGGGAGCTGCTCTTCTCTGCCTGATACGCAGCTTAGCCTCACATCACTGCACGGGTGTGACTGAAGCACTGCTTTGGAGGGAAAACATGCTCAGAGGGAGAGAGGACGAGATGGGAGGCAGCAGAAAGAGTGCCTGTCTCTTTAAGTGCCAGGAGATGCAAGGATGATGTTCGTACATCATCATGATGAGAACACACAATGATATCAGTGTGCTCATCTAGCTGAATGGAATCATAGTGATGTTAACTCAGTCAAAATAGAGCCAGGGGAGACTGAACACATTTTATGCAGGGTTTTTTATGTTTTGATCCACGTTTTGGGTTCCGCTACATATGACAGCAGAAACATGAATCCTGACAAGATATTTTCCCAACGTTCCACATGGGGTGTACAAAAGGGGGTTTTCTTTTAAATAAAACAATAAGAGAATAAAGACTTTATTAAAAAGGGTATCAATGAATTGCACTTTTTTTTATCATTATTGTTCAGGAATAAGAGTACACGATAACAACCATGAGAATGTTTAGAGAAAGACCAAGTCTAGCAGAGTGGTGCTCAGATAACAACCCACTGCTTAACGCAAAGCCAAGGAGGTCCTTTTTTTATTTAAAAAAAAAAAAAAAAGTTCCTGGGAATCAGCATCACAAACAACCTTGCATGATCATCGCACATTTGAAAACATCATCAACTGGCAAAGGATGTGCATAGGACATCATAGGTGCCCATCTACCGAACAACATGCCCAAGAAGAATCTAAGAGATAATAAATAAAAACACCCAAGCCACAACTGTTCCCCTGCTGCCATCGGTCAAGAACAGGAAGTACCTGCTACTGTACCACCTGACTACAGCGCAGCTTCTTCCTCCAGCTGAAGCATTCATCCTCCACAAAAAAGTTTTGCTTGTTTTCTTTTTGTATGTAGCATAAAAGGACTGCAACTGCATTTTATTGCATACCTGTGTTGTACAATGACAATAGATTAACCTTGTACGAGAACACCGGAACCTGGAAGGATGATGTTGGTTGGTTGAAAAGCATTAAGTCGGTAGTTAATATGTTTGCTTTAACACAGATATCGGGACAACCAACCGTTGTGCTTCATATTACTGTAAGCCACTTGTTCCCTGCCTTTTCAAACCTTGTGGGACCTTAAAATAAAGCAATCTCTACTTGTGACTCATTGTCACTAGTTGCACGTCTGTGGGTCATGGTCTTTAAATGCTCATACATGCCTCTTTGTTCTAGAGCACAACAATTTCAAATAAGCAAATGCACAAAGTTTAACCCAGGTTTTCCCAACCCTCATTTAAAGCCATTCAAATGACAGCAATATAGGTCATATTCCGATTAATTAATTAAAACAGTACCAGCTTTCTCCTTTTTTTCCTTTTATTATTCAAACTTTTAAAACAGTAAAAAACTCAGATTAAATCAATGTGTTCAACAGAAATAAGTAACTGCTGGACGTTTCGAACAATTCAACAACAAAAAAAGGCGGCAGGGTCCATCACTCAGGCTGCATGTTTGAAGGATCGATCATTGTGTCCCTGATGTCGTAGGCCCCTATAAGTTCCTGGGTAAAACAACATAACAGTTGAAAAAATGAAAATCAGGATTATGACATAACAAAAAGAGTTAACATTTATTTTAGCCATGTATATTCTCAGTTTTCAGACTAAAACTTATTAACCTTCCATCGCTTTGGGCTGATGGAGACAATGCACTGTTTACGGATGCTTGATCCTCCAGCTTCCACCTCTCCCTCCTCCACTGGAGCTGAGAAACAAAGACACAGAACGCTGGTTAAATAATTTATCTAGAGACATTTGTATTGATCAGAATAATACATCAAAATATGAAATCTTCTTACCTATACAAGGTAATTTGTAATTATCTAAATACATCCTAGCCAGCCCATCCTGAAACACAAACAGCATTTTCACACTTGGTAACGGTCACTAGAGGGCAGAGAAGTTCCGTTTATCCAAACATCAGCTAAGGAAGCTCACCCTGACGAGAAAGGACGTGTGGAAAATGTTCTCAACTGTCCGGGAAAACGACTTGGGGTCGATGACAAACTCGTAATAGGATATTGGGGATGTTGCTGTGACAGAAGCAGAGACACGTGAGCGAATAATAATCACACGATGAAGAAATATCATATAGGTCGGCTTTAAACTCACGATCATCTTGGTAATACGTCTTCAGGTATCCCAGGATCCTCTCCACCTCTTTCTCTGTCGCTTCTTGATGGGAGCCTCCCATTTTCTTCAGCTGACAAGACAACATTAACATGACAATCAAAAACGCTGTGTTTTTAAAGATTATTGACTGAAAATGTTACTTTTAGATAAAGGTGTATCATTATCCAAAATAAATCCATGGGGCTGTAAGTTACCTGAGTAGGCATTATCCTTTTGACTTCTTTTCCGGGGGCCTTCCTCTGCCGCTCTATCCTTTGCTTTGGAGGAGGCGGCTCTGCATGGAACGAGCCCATCCTGATGAAATGATTCACAATGATGAAAGATTTAGGGACAGAAAGTAGAACAAGGAACAATAAAAACCCAGCAAAGACGCAATACTTGAGTTATAAACAATTATAGTAATAATAAACATCTTTAAAGTGGCAATAGACAACTTTTGGGTTAAGTAATGGTTACATCACCATTGTCAATATTAGTTCTGTATGAGCTCTGCTTTAAAAAATGTGTAATCTCCCTTTCACAATAAAATCATTAGACAAACACTGCATCTCTGCTTACTTAAGAGCAATTTGCCTAAAGGCTACTAAACAAAAGGTAGTGGAACAACAGGAGTGAGGTAACTAAGTCTTGAGTTTTTGAAAACTGAAAGAGATCGGGTTATCTTCTGAAAACGGTTGATGTTCATTCAACGCAGACTTCAAATCAGCAGCTTTTAATTTTACGAACATTTTGTGATGCCTTCTGTTATTTCTTATAATTGTTATTGACACATAGTAGGCTTGTTTGAGACAAGCGAGACCTGCGCAGACCTGCGCAATTTCGATCAACGTCTTGCTCGTGCGTTGCATGATGGTTAGTCATTTTGTCCGACTTGCTCTGGAGGCTCGCTCACATGAGACGTTGAAATCTCGCGGGACAAAGACGCTCGCAGCCTTGAGAGCGAGGCGAGGCGAAGCGCCGCAGTTCCTCTCCACGGGCTGCGGAAGCAAAATGCTTTATGGGAAACGATTCGCTGGTATCTCGAGCTGAGCGCTCATTGGTGGTTTGTACCCCGTGCTGCTGATGAAACTCTCCAATTGGCTCGGCAAAAGTTTGTTGTTGTTTTGTGTCGCCCCCTCCATTAACATTTTTCATAATTGTTCCACAATGTTTATCATCATGAAATTAATATCTATATAATGTTATACTATACTTGCACTGCTTACCGTTTTTATACTTTATATATCTTAGCATATTCATACCATAGGATTCATACACACTGTTCATACTGCTCACAGGCTGCTGTTTATATCTAGTGTATTCATACCCCCTCGTTGTCTCAGTACCTGTAATCTGTGCAATAACAATAGAGTTGAATCTAATCTTGAGCAGGAACAAATGTATTTACTTAGTACATCTGACATTAACGATTAAACACGTGTGCATTCTTTATAAATGCAAACCGAGTCAAGCCGACTCCGGAGGTGGCGGTATGCACCTTAAAGTTGTTTGCAATCCGCCAAAAAACCGAGAGAAGAAGAAGAAGAAGGAGAAGAATAAGAAGGAGAAGAAGAAGAAGAAGAAGAAGAAGAAGAAGAAGAAGAAGAAATAAAGAGATGT